CAGCTTTTGAAATGATGCCTTCTGGTTTGGCAAAGAGCTAATCCCTGATTATTTAGGGACAAGTTGTATGTAGATATTGTGTAGAGGTGTGGGGAGGGGGTTGAAGGGTGGAGGCAAACAAGAAACTCCCCTGTTGTCATTCTCAACGTGTGAAGTTATGCAAAGGATATGTTCAAGGGCACTGGGGATTTTTGTGATGCCCTGAGAAGCATGACTAATGGGTGCTTCAAGGATAGAAAGTCATAGATATATAACCACAGGAGGCATCTTTAGGTGGTAGTTTAAGCAAAACACTATCTTGAACTTCACTTTCCACAGGATCCATTTTTTCTACACGGTGTTAATCTTAGGTTCTTCCCATAAGAAAGAGAGTCCTGATGTCTGTTTGGCTGTTCAGCATTCTAAGCCATGGAGTCTTTTTTTGGTTGAAATGGGAAATAGTTGGGGTTTGACAGCTGAGGGGAAACTTTGAAGAGGGCTGTGTGAAAAAAAGAAAATCTGGATCCTCCCACATTTTGGGTGTCTTCATACAGGACTATATTTCCCTCTGCTTCCTATGCCAGTTGGAAAGCAAGGTTAGTACACCATTATGGTTTCTATACACAAAGAAAAGTGGAAACTTTAGCAAGTGCATCTCTTCTGCAAAGCACAAACTGTTGGTTGGTCCTGTTACAGTGTTGCAACTTCATGCCATCCTGTAAAGAGGTCTATACCTTAAGAGAAACAGCCCGTCATAGAATTATAGAACTGTATAAAATTGGAGTTGGAAGAAGCCTCAGGAGGTCATCTAGTGCAACCCTCAGCTCAAAGCAGGACTCAGCTCAAAGTGAGCCTCAGCTCAAAGTTAAAGCTTTGTTTAAACTCGTCTTAAAACCTTCATAGATGGAGATTCCACAACCTCTCTGGGTAACCTGTTCCAGTGCTTTACTACTCTCCTCAAGAGAGAGTTTTTCCTATATATCTAACCTAAACTTCTCTTGCTGCAACTTTTCCCTCCTATGAGAAAAGAAATGCAACCATTGAATGAAGACAAATGACTACTCCTCGTCTCCAAAACCAACAAGGACAACTTAAGTTAAAGGTGCCAAAAGAAAATGGGGCTGGGATAAATGCTCAACAAACCCATTTTTTCCTCAAGTTTCATGATAGTGTAGAGAGATGGAGTGGATCTTCAAGAAATCCTGGAAACCAACTTGTAGCTAAATGTACTCTTTAGAGCACAAGTGTTTCAGGTTCCATAGGAGAGAGACTGCTAAGTTGTGCACCACTTCCTGCATGAATTGAAAGTTCCACATTGGCTTCAAGAATGATCCTAATCTAATTTGGGTGGGGTGAACGCATGGAGAACTGCAGCAAATTATACTAAAAAGTAAAGGACATCACATCCTGGTAAGGTACAAATGGAAAAGAGTAGGTACTGCAGTGACCTAGGAATCAAGAAGAAGCTGAAAATCAAAAATGGACCTCCCATTTTCAGACTGCTAAGGAAAAGTAATCATGTTGCCTCAAATAAGAAAACAAGTATTAACTGTTCCCATATATTCCTTTGAAGGCATTACAGTCATTCCATCAGTCTCTATATTGTGTTTCAGTTGGCTCATTCTAATCTGAACCTGTGATTGCCCCCATAACAAACACATGACGTTTTTCAGGTTACTAAAAGGGTGACATTGGGGCAAGTTTCCTCTACGTAGTTGTGTCACTGCAGCTCAATGCATTTTGCTCTCCATCTGTCTCTACCCACTATCCTCAGATATGTAGTGGATGGAATGATTGTTAGGAAATAGCTCTGAAGGAACATTTCAGGCATATGAACAACTGTTGAAAATCACCCCATGAAATTTTGATAAGAAAAAATTGCAGCATAGATTATTTTAGAATGACTTTGTCCATCCCAACAGGATCCAGTGATACAGTAACTGAGCAACACCTTATGTTAAACAACATTAAATATACATGAGGGAAGCAATATAGACATTTGACCTTTCTCCATCTGTGAGAGAAGATCATAGATCAATGAGATCAGACCAATTTCTTATACTTTGGCCTGAAGCCTGAAATGTAGAAGCTGAGAGGAGTGCTGGGCACTGTGAACCTCTGGTGATGGCTTCTTGAGTTCGAGCCCAACAACTGATTGCTTGATTAAAGATGGCTCACTGGCTTGCCGCTATGAGGTGACATAATACCCACCAAAAATACCTCTCATGAGATTATACTATCCATGAGAAATGTGTCAACTATCCAGGCCATATGCTTCCTCAGCACATGCTATTTCACAGTAACTGAAAATTGCTGGAAGATGATCATGAAGCAGGCTGTTAGTTTATGGTACTGAATGGCCCCATTATGTTACAGCTTAAAGGAAATGAATGTATTAGCTGTGACTTTATTTTCTGAAGTCACAAGTTCCAGCTGTTGTCTAACATCATATCTTAAATAAATTTTCCATTTTGATATGCTGTTATCTTCTGGTATTCTAAAATATATAAAAGAAAGCAATTTTAAACTTGATTCATCTTGTGATATAACATTTTACAAGGAAGGGGGGAAATTGTTATAAATGGCAGGCTATTTCTCATATGGTTCATGTTTAGAGTTGTAATTATTTTCTTTTGACATTTCCGATTATTAGTTAAAAATAAGTGGCTATTGTTTTCCTCTTCTGGAAGGCGAGCTATGTTAAAATGAGGTTATAAAGATGAACATTCTTTCTGGATTCAGAATCTTTCCAGGAGTACCATGTCTCCACAAGCAACGGTGATCTTTGACATAACATTTTGTTGAATATGTGAGATAGCCAACATGTGAAAACAACCAACCAACCAAATAAACAAAAACAGAGCTATCCAGACAGCTCTACGTTGGCTTTATTTGTGCAAATGTTTGAGAGTATACGTGTTTCAAACTAAAACTGGCTTCATTGTTGTACACAACAATTCCTCCTGAACTTCCTTGGTGCCCTGTGTTAGTTAAAGCAACAACATTTTACCTTGTGTTCTACACTCCTGAAACAAGACATAAACAGGAAGGCTCTAACTACCAGCCTTACTCAGAGAAGTGGTACAGGCTTGTACAAATAGCCATAAGCATCTGACACCTATCTTTCATAGATTTTTTTTCTCTTGCTTTATGCCTTTAAAAGGACACCTACATTTTTTATCTTTTGTATACTTGAATGTAGATGATGTTACCCTACAAACATTATAATTACATCTAGAAACTGCAAATTCACCATAAAATATGACGCTCATTTACTAATATAGCCATGTTTACATATTTAGTTAAGAGACATGACTCCCTTCTGACAAAACTGTTGGAGGGACACTGTTTGAATATGGCATGCAACACTGTGGTTCCATATTTTACCACAACGGAGTTATTACTTCAGTGTACCTTTATCATGTGTTTAGCTATTTAGAAATCAGCCCATGGCTGAATTTGATACTCAGTTGCTGAACTGTGGCACTCTGTTTCATTACTCAAAGCAGGTTGTTTAGGAAATAGGTCCTATCAACCTATAAATTATGTAAGCACTGTTGTAAATGTATGAAACAACAGTATAGGAACTTTTTGATTAAAATATGTTTATATTCTCTTTAGCTAAATTAAAATATGGATGAGTTACATTGCATCATAATCTTTGACTTATTGAAAGACTGAAATGGGAACAGAGAGTGATATAGTACATGGAACAACTGTATAATTCAGAGGCCATATGCAAACTGTCACTTTGACAGATGCATTCCTCCAGGCTATTTTAATGATAATTTAATTGAGAAAGTAAAGATTCCAGATTTAGCTTCCCCACAAGTTCTGAAATTTCTACAACATGACTTACAGGTTTGGGATTTTTTAAGGAGATGGAATTTTGAGCAGCTTTTTGTATGTGTTGAGTTTGGGGATCCTGTTCTTTAAGGCCAGGTACAGACATTACACTTTTACTGGTATAAGTGATTGGAAACAGGTCTATAACCAGAACAGAACAGAAATTCAGTACACATAGACTGGCTTAAAAATGGTGGAATGGTGGTCTAAGATTTGCTACCCTACCCCCACCAAAGGATGAATGTGTGGTCTGTTCACTTTCAATCCAAACTGCACCACTTACAGAAAACTGCATAACTTAGATTGATTCCTCCTCAGGCTTTTTGAATGTCTGTACCTAACCTACATTTGTGATGGAGATTTTGGAAATATCAGTTCTACTTCTTCCAGCAGCTTTACAATTCAAACTCTGCCTTATTCCATGCACAGTCTCCAGCTCCGGTAATTCATGGTAAGATTCTGGAGAATGTTGAGTATTTCCCATACCTCAGAAGCTCTCTCTCACAAAAGGCTGACATTGATGAGGAAATCCAACATTGCCTCAAATATGCAAGTGCAGCCTTGGGACATGTGAGGAAGTGAGTGTTGAAAGATTACGATATCAGAACTTGTGGAAGCTCCCATGCCTATTCCATGAGTCACATCTTAATGTGTCCATGGGGACTTTCACCGTTTCAGTCCTTTTGCGAGTGGACAACTTGTTTCTAGAGTCTTACAACTGGAACTGGGGCAAGGGCAACCACTCTCTCCTGCCATGACTTGATCTTCTATGCATTTTGGGAGGAGGTCTTATTCTCCATGGATGCTGTCCTTAGCCAGCCCTGGTGCTGTCTTCTGGGGCTCCACCTCCCCTAGACCCCACCTTATGCCAACCTTGTGAGATCTCTAACAGATGTTATGAGCACAGAGGCTATCCTTGCATATTGTGCCTTCTGAGGTAAATAATGTATATGAAACAAAGCAATATGGAACCCAAAATATCACTCTGAGACTTGGTCCTTCTTTACAATCCTCTAGCCGAGAGTTGGACTGCCATGGTCCTAGTCCTGTGAAAACCCTTGTGTATTTTAGGGTCTGCCTGTAGTGACTGTCCCCTGTGGGGCACTTTGGTCCATTGTATTCACAGTTCTTCTCTTTCTTCTCTCCTAGGTTTAACGTCCTCAGTCAAATCCCAGTCTTCCATCTATGATGGCCAGGACCAAGCTGTGGGTAAGTTGTTTGGCTTCTCTGAGGCAGTTTGGTGGGTTTGCCGCTGGCTGGCTGCCTTCCATTATTTGCCCCTCCTGGGGCATCCAGAGCTCGCTTCCAGTCCTCCCATCTCTCTAGGTTGGGCTCCTTCAAATCCCAGCATGGGGTTCTGGCCCTTTAAATGTCAGCAGCATGCTCTTATAAAGTGCTACCACACTGGTGCTGGGGTTTCCCTGGCGCTTGCTGCTCCTCCCAGTGCCGCTTTTCACCACTGCTCCACTGCCTCATGCCAACTTGGCAGGTGAGGTCCTGCTTCATTGCCTTCCATGCTGTCACACGTGCCTTCCACACCATCACAGCTTATGGTTTATCAAGCAGTTGTGATCCCCACCTTACTGTATGGAGCTGAGTTGTGGACAGTGTATAAGAGACACCTCAAGTTGTTGGAGAAATGCCATCAATGCTTGTGTAAGATCCTTTGAATCCCGTGGGAAGACAGATGAACAAATGTTAGCATCCTCTTGCAAGGAAACACCACAAGCATCAAGGTGATGATCATCCAACATCAACTTCGCTGGGCTGGCCATGTCTTCCAGATGTCTTACTGCAGATTCCTGAAGAAAATTGTATTTTCCCAGCTCAGTCAAGGTGCACACTCAAGACAAAGGCAGAAGAAGTGCTTCAAAGATGTCCTCATGACTAACTTGAAAAAAATGCAAAATTGACATCAACTTATGAGAAACTATCGCCTAGAACTGCCCCAAATGGTGGACGAGTCTTCTACAAGCATCTTAGTACTTTGAAACCTCAAGATGGGAAGAAGAGACAGAAAAGCAGGAGTGGCAGAAACAGCATGTCACAGACTGATCCAAAAATCCAAAGCCACCCACCCACCACAGAAATGTGCTCAAGTTGCAGTGGAACCTGTCAATCCTAGATTGGCCTTGTCAGCTACCTTCAGAACCAAAAATAAGGCAATCACAGAAGACAATCATTCTTGACTGTGAGGGTTTGCCAGTGATGATGATCACTAGAATGACAATAAATATGCCTGCTGGATGTGGAGGTAGAGCAATACTTGTTCTTGAGCTTAATTGACAAAACTCCTCACGAAAACAAGCTATGTATCTCATCAAACTATTCTTGCAAGTGAAATGTTAAGTGAAAAAAGGTATAAATAAATAAATAAACCCACCTAAATTTCCAGGGTAATTGCTTTTTCATGGTCTCCAAGACTTTTATATATTATTTTGCTTCTTTTTCCTTCCTTCCAGGAATAAATGCCAGAGCAGTGACAGAGATTAGGCCCAGGGTATCCAGTGAGGAAGTGGTAAACCAATTACTAGTGCCAGGATTCATGAAGAGGGAGTTCAGCAGAACAATTCAACACATGAGGATCACTAAGTAATTCACTGGTACATTATTCGCTTGTGTCTACTATCTCTTGCTCTATTATCAATCTCTACTTCAGTCTGCTGTTTAGAAATAGCACTACCTATATATTATTTTTGTTTCTTCACTGACTCTTCTAATGCAACTGATTTTCAAAAGTGTGCACCTGGAAAAAAACTAAGAAGCCTAAGTGAGCATAATGAATTGGAAGGAAGTGTTATCATCCAAGAGAACTGCGCAGTCCTCAAACACAGCAGGATTAGTATGTAAGATCGCAACTCCTCAATGAAAGAACAATGTATGAAATAAAGCTTAATTCCAGTACTTATACATATGGAGTGCATCCACATGAGTGCACGCGTGCATCTTACAGCATCTCAAAGCTCTATTAGACGTTGTAGGAGGCACGTCAGAACAAAAAAATGTTTCCTGCACTGCAAGTTTGCAGTGTGGGGGCAAAATTAGACCCCAGGGTATCTGGGGTAAAAAAAAAAAAAAGCTCCACAGAACAACAACCCAGGAGTCAGTCCTCCAGGAGAGACACTCTGGTTTCTGGTTAGGGATGTGGGGTGGGGGTTTTTTATGGGTGTGGGTGGATGTGAGGAGTGGCAAGGGGATGTCGGGGGGGTGTTGGGGAGTGGAAAGGATGTCAGGGGCTATGGAGAGTGGCGGGGATGCCAGGGGGTGTGGGGAGCAGTGAGGGGGTTGTCCCATATGTGGGTGAGTTTATAGAGGGGCTCAAGTGCTGGCTGCCACATGCCTGGCCCCCACCTGGCTCCTGTGGTGCCAGCAGCAGCAGGCAGCATGGCTGTGGCTCTGCTGCAGGCACAGCAGGAAGTGATGTGGTGCTTTGTGACCTGAGCTCCATACATGCTGGATGGACCTGGCCCAGCCTGCTAGTGCACAGCCTTGGATGGGCTGGGCCAGGTCCATTCAGCATCTACACAGCCCAGGTCACACAGCACCACACCACTGCCCACTGTGCCTGTAGTAGAGCCACAGCCCCACTTGGCTGCTGCCACCAGTGCCAGCAGGATATTACAGGTGATTTATACCCAAGTTTGCTGACATCACCACACCCCTCACTGACCTGTTACGAGGAAAGAGAGGAGGTTATTTCCTATAGAACACAGAAAGCACATTCGCCTTTGAATGCACCAAGAGGGCCCTCTGCCATGAGGTGGTATTAGACACCCCAAAATTCAAGTTGCCTTTCACCTTAAAAATGGAAGCTTCAGAGTGGGTGTTAGGTGCTGTGCTGTCCCAAGAAATCGAGGGAGCCTCCCAACCCATAGCCTACACTAGCCAAAAACTAAATCCACAAGAAAGAAGTTATGCTACAATCGAGCGTGAGTGCCTCACCATAAAGTGGGGCATCCAGTACTTCAGGTACTACCTACTGGGGCGGGAGTTCACATTTATTACCAATCACACCCCCTTAAGGCAGCTGATGATTAAACAAATGGACAATGCATGCATTACCCAATGGGCTCTGGCCTTGCAACCTTTTAATTTTAAGAACATGTACTGGCCAGGAAAAGCTAACACAGTAGCTGATTTCCTTTCGAGATGTCACAAGGATGAAGACAGAGCAGAGGATGGGGTGACGAATGTGGATCCTGTTGTACCAAAACCCCAGGATATAAGCGTGCCTAACAGCGAGTTAAGTGGGGAGGTATGTGAGAGCCCAGAGGGCACTCATCTAGAGTGCATCCCTGACCAGGGACATGGACCGCACCATATCACAACGTCCACTCTACGATGGGAGCTCCTCATCCGCACCTGCCCGGCTTTACCTCCTCAAGAGGTGAAGCAGATTAGGGCCAATCCTCAGCATGAGCAATATCCAGAGGCCGGGGTGGAACCAAGGGAGGAGAGAAAAGGACAGCGGAGGAGAGGAGCCTGGGATCTGGAGATGCAGGGCGAAGATGGAGAAGATCGGGTAAGCCCTTGGTCGGACTCTGAAGAGGCGGTGGCACCCTCACCAGGGGAGTGAAGAGGAGGGTGGAAGAGGCCAGGTGGCAGAAGGCGGATCAGGGAAAGACCCTAGGAATGGCGGAGGTGGCAGATCTGCCAAAACAACTCGCCGCAGGGGTTTTTTTTCTATTCTTTTTTTTTTGTTTGATGTCTCCCTACCAGCTAGAGACCCCAGCTCAGGGCCAGGCATTCTTCTGAGAAGAGAAGGGGAGCGTGCACTTGGAGGAGCTCCACAACTGAGACGGGGGTGGGCAAAAAACTCTGTGCAGTGAGAACTGTGCCCTTTCCCAGCTGATTGCTCCAGAGGGAATTCCCCTCCTTGTTAAGCGACGCGTGCCATCAATTAAGCCTGTTGCGGTCCTGATATAAAGTATCCAGGAGGAGTCCAGGGCGGGGAAAGTAAACTACTGAAGACTCCTGGGGGTAACTGCCCCTGGCAACTAGAACCAGTCCTTGAAGACATCCAGAAGAAGAAAAGGACAAAGGTCTTAAGACTTCAGTGAAGAAAAAAAGAAATAAATTAAAAAAAAAATAAAATGAAAGTAAAAATTTGGTTTTAAGTTGGTCCTTTCCTCGCTTCTGATTTTGGACTTTGGGCATTGGGGCAGCCCCTACAATCGATCCGGGTGTGAGATGGGTAGTCACCACCTCCCTTTTGTAAATCTCCTTTTATCATCAAAGTCATGGCAGGCAGTAAAGAAAGGGCAGCAGATCTCACCCAGCTTGACTGTAAGGGTGCAGCCACCCCAAAGGGCCAGTGAATGTCAGCAGGATGTAGGGGTACATGTCCATGACTGCCTGACAGGGGGGAGTGGGGATCACCCCCTGCCTGGCAGCAACCGGTAAATGGATTTTTTTTTTAAACAACTGGGAGCTGGGGTGGGTGGGGCAGTCATGGATGCGGGGCTGGGATAGCAGGCAAGGGTTGAGGTAACTTAGGGGGGCTGGGGAAGCAGGGAGGAGATCTGGCCTGGTGGGGGTCCCCTTGTGGTCCCCTGCCTGCTCCTCCAGCCTCCCCTTCCCCACCCTCTGCTTACCAGCATGGAGTCCAGGTCCAGCTCCCTGCTGCAGTGGGTGGGGACTGCCTGAATTTCTGAAGCTCTGTGAATTTTTTCTGAATTGATTTGGAGAGCTTCAAATTGATTTGGACCTTTTAATTGTTCCCCTGATATGTTTTGGATTTGGAGATTCGGCTTTCAAATTGAATTAGAACCTGAAGCTTTGCACAACCCTAATATATATATATGAGAGAGAGAGATTGAGATCTTTTGTTCTAATTGTGGAAGAACATGGATTTGGGGGTATTTTAAAAAATGGATGTAGGATGCTGCTGCAGGAGTTCAGCTAGCACCAGATGGCTGGGCCCCAGAAGCTCCTGAAAGCAAATAGCCCTTAACCCTGAGCTGCTTGCTAGGGCAGCTTTTTATACTGCTGGGGCCAGCACATTACATTTTAGTGCCCTATTGCCACATTGCATTGCTTTTTTTACTCCTGGGGCCAGTTGCATTTCAGTGCCCTATCCTATCCTATCCACAAGTCTTACTTCCCAAAACAGTCAGTTTAGTGTCCTAGGAATGCATGATCTGTCTGGGCTTAAAGAATTTGTTAGAAATGAAGGATGGAAACTAACAAGGGAAAAATGGAGGAAAAAGCCAGAATTTTTAGTTAAAGCTAGCCAAAGGCACAAGTGAAAGGGATTTTACACATTAACAAGAGCAAACAAAACACTAGAGATCTAGTATGCTTCTTAAAGCACCAGCAGGGAGCTAAAATCAGCAAGCTATTAATTGCCTTTCTTACACAAATTTCAACAAGAACAAAAAAGAAGGAAATATGATCTAACACTGAAAATAATATACAAAGTTGATATTATTGGGGTTCATTTAGAAAACCAAATCCTGCTGTTTTACATAGAGGGTCATTTTCTGGACACAGTAGTCTTCAAGTGAAATCCTTCATCACCTTGCAACATGATTCATCTTATTCCCACCATCTGCCTTCTGAATGCTCTGTATCTCAACTTTGTTGTCCTCTGGTAGCCAAATTTCATACCATATGGCCTGTCACATAACCCCTACCCATGGTTATTCAGGTGCTCTATGGGTGTGGTTAGCTACCGTGGAAAGGCTAATATCCCTGCCTTAGCTTCAGAGCCTTATCACTATTTCAAATTCAGAGATCTCATGTTGCTTCACTCATGCAGTTCTAGGGGCTGGAAAAAAGTCATTCAGCTTTCTTTTGTTAAAGGTGCTAACTAATTTGAAAGGCTATTGTCTTTAAGACATGTATATATATGTGTGTGGACACCAATGCAAGAACTTGAATAAAAAGATGAAGTATCTGAAGGAAAACAGCTGCCATAAGACAATCCATGAGGCATGGGCAACCCAGCTTCCAGCTGAAAGCAGTATTAAGCTTCTGTCCTCCTTAAAGATATAAAGGTAAATTTGGGGGGTGGTGCTAGCTTGGATTTTTTTAAAGTAAATTTGACCATCTCTCTTTGTAGAAGAATCAGACATAAAACATTATGTTTTAGGAACCAGGAAGTCTCTGATCCATTTTACATGCAGTGAGTTTGATCCTTCTGAGGGCTATGTCCTTAAAGCTTCTTAAGTGGTACACTACCAAGTTGATATGTGCTTTGATGCTTTGTGGTGTCCTCTTCTCCAAGTTATACCCAGGCTTGCTGTCAAATGCATCTAAAAAGGTATCCCATAAAATTAAGTGAGTGGGGATGGGAAAACTGGGCTTTGGCTCTTGATTCCAGAAGGGGATTCCTAGTTTGGGAACCCAAGTGGATGTAGTACTTGCCTAGTTTGAAATAAGTGCCATATT